CACCAGAAATCTTAAACGATATAGTCGTGCGCTGGAGCGATTGTGGTGTAAAACTAAAACCCAGCAAGTATTCACCCGATATAAATCTGCTTTATTAACATACAATTCCTCCCTTCATGCTGCCAAACAAGCCTACTTTGTCACTCTTATTAATACCTTGTCATCCAGTCCTCGTCTCTTCTCTACTTTTAACTCTCTACTTTCTCCACCTCCACCCAGTACCTCACTCACTGCTAAGATTGCAAATCATTTCAAAAACAAGATTGATGCAATTCGTAGGGGCATCGCCACTGCACAGACATCCATCCCACTTAGCATACCTTATACTAAACCTCCCTCAACACTTTCCTCTTTTGACCTTGCTACTACCAAAGAGGTCACTAAGATTTTCTCGAAAGCCCATCTCACTACCTGCCCCCTGGATCCTGTCCCCTTACAACTACTACAGTCACCCTCTCCTTCCATCCTATGCTCCCTCACTCACATCTTCAATCTTTCCCTCTCTTACGGTGCCTTCCCCTCCCCTCTAAAGCATGCGCACATCACTTCCATACTTAAAAAGCCCTCCCTGGACCCCACTAACCTGAACAACTTAAGACCCATCTCCCTGCTGCCATTTACCTCTAAACTCCTAGAATGCTTAGTCTACAATCGCCTGAGCTCCCACCTCACCGACAACAACCTTCTTGACCCTTTACAGTCTGGTTTTCGCTCACTACACTCCACTGGACCTGCCCTACTAAAACTTGACCTCTCTGCGACTTTTGATATGGTTGACCATCCCCTCCTCCTCAAAAAACTCCACTCTCTTGGCCTCAGAGACTCTGCTCTCTCCTGGTTCTCCTCCTACCTATCGTAGCGCTCCATTCACCTCACTATCATCCAATGTCTTCCTCTACACCCAATATTCCATTATCCTCTACACTCCAAACGTTCAATATCATTTCTTCTACACCTCAACATTTCAATATCTCTTCTGGTACACCCTGACAGCCTTCCATTCATGTCACCATCTCATCATGTCTTCCTCTCTACACCCTAACATTTCAATAACTCTTCTACTACCCCCCCCCCCCCCCTAACATTCCAGTATCTCTTCTGGTACACCCTGACAACTTTCCATTCACCTCACCATCTTCCCATGTCTTCCCCTACACCCCAACATTCTAATATCTCTTCTGGTACACACTGAAAATCTTCCATTCACCTGACCATATCCTTATGCTTTGCTCTACACCCCAACATTTCCATATCTCTTCCTCTACAAAATACGTTCTAATACATTTTCTTATACACCCTGACAATCTTCCATTCACCTCATTATCTTCTTGTGTCTTCCTCTACACTCCAACCCTTCAATATCTATTCTTCTACACCCAACTATCTTCTTCCCGTGTCTTCTTCTACACCCCAACATTCCAATATCTCTTCTGATACACCCTGACAATTTTCCATTCACCTCACCATCTTCTTGTGTCTTCCTCTACACTAAAACCTTTCAAGATCTCTTCTTCTACACCCAAACATATCAATATCTCTTCTGGCACACCCTAACAACCTTCCATTCCCCTCACCATCTTCCCATGTCTACCTCTAAACCCTAACATTTCAATATCTCCTCTGGTACACCCTGACAACCATCTATTCACCTCATCATCTTCCTGTGTCTTCCTCTAATCCCCAATATTTTAATATCTCTTCCTCTACACCCCAACATTCCAATATCTCTTACTGTACACCCCAACAGTCTCACATTTACCACACCATATTCCTAAGTCTTCCTGTACACCACAGCATTGTAATATCTCTTCTTGTAGACTTCAGCATTCCAATATCCCTTCTTGTACATGCTTGCGGTCTTCCATTCAACGCACCATCTTCCTAGTTTTTCCTGTACACCTCAGCATTCCAATATCTCTTCTGGTACACCCTGGCAACCACCCATTCACCTCACCATCTTCCCATGTCTACCTCTACATCCAATATTCCAAAATCTTTTCCCTTACATCCCAACATTCCAGTGTCTCTTCTGGTACACCCCAACATTTCAATATCTCTTCTGGTACACCCTGACAATCTTCCATTCACCTCACCTTCTTCCTGTGTCTTCTTGTACACTCTAACCTTTCAATATCCCTTCTTCTACACCCCAACATTCCAATATCTCTTCTGGTACGCCCTGGCAATCTTCCATTCACCTCACCATCTTCTTGTGTCTTCCTCTACACTTCAACCCTTCAATATCTCTTCTTCTACACCCTATCATTTCAATATCTCTTCTGGTACACCATGGTAGCCTTCCATTCATCACACCATCTCGCCATGTTTTCTTCTACAGCCTAACATTTCAATAACTCTTCTCCTACCCCTCAACATTCCAATATCTCTTCTGGTACACCCTGACAACCTTCTATTCCCCTCATCATCTTCCCGTGCCTTCCTCTACACCTCAACATTCCAATATCTCTTCTGGTACACCCTAACAACCTTCTATTCCCCTCATCGTCTTCCCATGTCTTCCTCTACACCCTAACATTTTAGTACCTCTTCCTCTACACCCCAGCTTTGCAATATACACCCTGACAAACTTCCATTCACCTCACCATATTCCCGTGCCTTCCTCTACACCCCAACATCCCAATATCTCCGCCTCTACACCACAACATTCCAATATCTCTTCCTCTACACCCCAACATTCTAGTATCTTTTCTGGAACACCCTGGCAATCTTCCATTCACCTCATCATCTTCCTGTGTCTTCTTGTACACTCTAACCTTTCAATATCTCTTCTTCTACACCCCAACATTCCAATATCTCTTCTGGTACGCCCTGGCAATCTTCCATTCACCTCACCATCTTCTTGTGTCTTCCTCTACACTTCAACCCTTCAATATCTCTTCTTCTACACCCTATCATTTCAATATCTCTTCTGGTACACCATGGTAGCCTTCCATTCATCACACCATCTCGCCATGTTTTCTTCTACAGCCTAACATTTCAATAACTCTTCTCCTACCCCTCAACATTCTAATATCTCTTCTGGTACACCCTGACAACCTTCTATTCCCCTCATCATCTTCCCGTGCCTTCCTCTACACCTCAACATTCCAATATCTCTTCTGGTACACCCTAACATCCTTCTATTCCCCTCATCATCTTCCCAGGTCTTCCTCTACACCCTAACATTTTAGTACCTCTTCCTCTACACCCCAGCTTTGCAATATCTCTTCTGGTACACCCTGACAAACTTCCATTCACCTCACCATATTCCCGTGCCTTCCTCTACACCCCAACATTCCAATATCTCTTCCTCTACACCACAACATTCCAATATCTCTTCCTCTACACCACAACATTCCAATATCTCTTCCTCTACACCACAACATTCTAATATCTCTTCCTCTACACCCCAACATTCTATTATCTTTTCTGGAACACCCTGGCAATCTTCCATTCACCTCATCATCTTCCTGTGTCATCCTCTTAACCCCAGTATTTCAATATCTCTTCCTCTACTAAACCCCAGCATTCCAATATCTCTTACTGTGCACCCCAACAGTCTCACATTTACCACATCATCTTCTTAAGTCTTCCTGTACAACCCAACATTCTAATATCTCTTCTTGTACACTTCAACATTCCAATATCCCTTCTTGTACATGCTTGCAGTCTTCCATTCATCGCACCATCTTCCTAGTTTTTCCTGTACACCTCAGCATTCCAATATCCCTTCCTCTACCCATCACCACTCTGCTGCTTCCCCTAGAACCTCAGTATCCCTGCTCATGTACCCCAAAGATTTTACTGCCCTTCCCACCACCTCAGGATCCCTCACTGAATCCCTGATATACTCCTTATTTCTCCACCACCTCCATATTATCAGTTTCCCTAAAACCTGACATGTTCTTGCTCTTCTCAATGCTTTGGTATCCCTCCTATTGTTTTATTTCTGTCTCCACCACCTCCATATCCTTTCCAGAAACATATCTTGATTTTTTTTTTTCTTATGTTCTCAGCCTCCCACTGTTTAATCTGTGTCAGAATTTTGTTGCTGCACAGCCATCTCCAAGCACCCTGTAGAATTCTCCGCATCCAAAATGCAGAGATTTCGCTCCGAATGAAGGGTGTTTCCCATGCCGAGGAATGCCCACTCTCTCCTTTTTTTCCTTCAGCAACACTTTATGTGTTTCGTATTGCGTGGGTTAACACTGAATCTCTCCCATGGGACATCCCGTGTTCATGAATAATTCATGGGGCCCAGACATGCCTACATTATGGATGGTTAGTGAGCGAGGGAGATGGAGGTGTAGTGACAGGCGGGTGTGAAGCTGCAGACTCCATAGACAGGTCAGAACAGCAAGCGCAGCGACAGCTTGGTGGTGCATACAGCGAGCATTACACGGTACAGGGCCTGTGATACGGAAACATGATCGAGAACGCCAGCGCGAACTGAGAGACGCTGCAAAGCTGCAGTATAATTTCATAAAAAATTTTAATTCCAAACATTCTTTTGACATTCGATTTTCCGACTGCAGTGGCAAGAAAATTCGAAGGTGCAGGATGGAAATTTTTTCTCAAACAAACGAAATTCTAACTGTAATTACGGTCTGTTCAGGAAAAAAACATTCATATTGTAATAAAACCTGTTTAACATATCTGGGATTCCTTTCAAGTAGCAGGTGGGGAGGAAATTTTAAGGGATTTGAATAAAATTAGATAACAATGGCGAGAAATGATTTACTATTGAACATTCAAACAAAAATCCAACTGTGTATAGCCAGTTTAATCAAAACCCTCCACATCCCAGCATCTGTTACCAAGGAGGTTCTTCTATACACACTGGAAAAGAGTGTGATCTCCCAATATATTCTATATACTGTACACATAGAATAGGAACCGATACCGAGAATGACACCCGGCATCCGGGACAGGAGACGTGGGACTGTGCAGAGTCCATACATACAGAATAAGGATAGATGCCGAGAATGACACCCAGCATCCAGGACAGGAGAATTGGGACTGTGCAGAGTCCATACATACAGAATGAGGACAGATACTGAGAGTTACACCCGGCATCCAGGACAGGAGAAGTGGGACTGTGCAGAGTCCATACATACAGAATGAGGACAGATACTGAGAGTTACACCCGGCATCCAGGACAGGAGAAGTGGGACTGTGCAGAGACCGTACATACAGAATAAGAACAGATACTGGGAGTTACACCCGGCATCCGGGACAGGAGAAGTGGGACTGTGCAGAGTCCATACATACAGAATAAGAATCGATACCAAGAATTACACCCGGCATCCAGGACAGGAGAAGTGGGACTGTGCAGAGTCCATACATACAGAATAGGAACAGATACCGAGAATTACACCCGGCATCCAGGACAGGAGACATGGGACTGTGCAGAGTCCATACATACAGAATAAGAACAGATACCGAGAATTACACCGGGCATCCAAGAAAGGAGAAGTGGGACTGTGCAGAGTCCATACAAACAGAATAAGGATAGATACCGAGAATGACACCCGGCATCCAGGACAGAATAAATAGGACTGTGCAAAGTCTGTACATACAGAATAAAGGACAGATACTGAGAGTTACACCCGGCATCCGGGACTAGAGAAGTGGGACTGTGCAGAGTCCATACATTATTATTATTATTATACAGTATTTATAAAGCGCCAATAGTTCGCTCAGCGCTGTACATTACAAAGGGGGACAGAACATGTGACAGAACAATACCAATACAATGCAAAACATGAGGGGATTGAGGGCCCTGCTCCTTGGAGCTTACAATCTAGGAGGGAGGGGATGGTGGTACAGGAGGAGAAAGCTGTGGGGGGATGGAGTGGTAGGAAGAGTGGAGGAGGTCGGCAAGTTAGCAGGGGGTGGGGTAGGCTTCCCTGAAGAGATGGGTTTTTCAGGGTGCGCCTAAAGGAGAGGAGAGCAGGTGATGATCTGATGGGTTGGGGCAGGGAGTTCCAGAGGATGGGTGACACCCTGGAGAAGTCCTGGAGGTGGGCATGGGAGGAGGAGACCAGGGAACTAGAGAGAAGGAGATCTTGTGAGGAGCGGAGTGTGCATGTTGGGTGGTACTTGGATATTAGGTCAGTGATGTAGTTCGGGGCAGTATGGTGGACAGCTTTGTACGTCAGCGTTAGGATTCTGAATTTGATCCGTTGCGCAATCGGAAGCCAGTGGAGGGATTGGCAGAGGGGGGTGGAGGACACTGAATGGAGGCCAGTGGAGGGATTGGCAGAGGGGGTGGCGGAGATGGAGCGGTTGGAAAGGTGAATGAGTCTGGCAGCCGTATTCAGGATGGACTGAAGCGGGGATAGCCAGTGGCGAGGCAGGCCAGTGAGGAGGGAGTTGCAGTAGTCGAGTCGTGATATGATGAGGGAGTGGATGAGCTGTTTAGTGGTTTCTGGGGTTAGAAACGTGCGGATTTTGGCGATGTTGCGGAGGTGGTGGAGTGGTGGTGGGGAGATGAGTATGGATTGAGTAGAGGAATACTAGTCGAGTGCTTTCATTACCCTATACATACAGAATAAGGACAGATCCTGAGAATTACACCCGGCATCCGGGACAGGAGAAGTAGGACTCTGCAGAGTCCATACATACAGAATAAGAGGAGATACCAAGAATGACACCCGGCATCCAGGACAGGAGAAATGGGACTGTGCAGAGTCCATACATACAGAATGACAGATACCGAGAATGACACCCGGCATCCAGGAGACGTGGTCCTGTGCATTGCTCTTGTGATAAGCATGCTGTTGAAGAATTACAGTAAATCTGGGAAGTAAGCGCCAGTGTGCATTTTTTTTTACATACACTGTATACTATATATAGAACATGGAGAAAGGAGAAATCTGTTGCTCATCTCCTGGCAGATAATAAGAGCCTGGCTGTCATGACTGCACTGAATTCATTGGTTGCTGAGGGTAATGAAAGCACCTCGACTAGTATTCCTCTACTCAATCCATACTCATCTCCCCACCACCACTCCACCACCCACTCCAGACCCTCTACTCTAATCATCATCTATACTCATTCTACTCATTTGAAGAGGCTTATCCATTACTATTCCACTAATTGTAATTCCACCACTAACTTCAGAATCCCCTCCCCCCCAAACCTCTATTTTTCCACCACTAAGTCCAGAACCCCCCACCCCCAACCTCTATTATTCCACCGCTAACATACACTAGTACTATACTATATATTTCAGATATTCCTCTCCCATTCATTCTGCTACAGTGACCTCCAACATCTCAAGCATTGCCTTTTCCATTACCTATTCCCCAACCTCTACTATTCCACCACTAACACCAGAACCCCCATCCCCAACCTCTACTATTCCACCACTAACTCCAAAGCCCCCCCACCCTCAACCTTTACTATTCTACCACTAACTCCAAAGCCCCCCCACCCTCAACCTTTACTATTCCACCACTAACTCCAGAACCCCCATCCCCCAACCTCTACTATTCCACCACTTACTCCAAAGCCCCCCCACCCTCAGCCTTTACTATTCCACCACTAACACCAGAACCCCCCATCCCCAACCTCTACTATTCCACCACTAACTCCAAAGCCCCCCCACCCTCAGCCTTTACTATTCCACCACTAACACCAGAACCCCCCATCCCCAACCTCTACTATTCCACCACTAACTCCAAAGCCCCCCCACCCTCAACCTTTACTATTCCACCACTAACTCCAGAACCCACATCCCCAATCTCTACTATTCCACCACTAACACCAGAACCCCCATCCCCGACCTTTACTATTCCCCCACTAACTCCAAAATCCCCCCACCCTCAACCTTTACTATTCCACCACTAACTCCAAAGCCCTCCCACCCTCAACCTTTACTATTCTACCACTAACTCCAGAACCCACATCCCCAACCTCTACTATTCCACCACTAACTCCAGAATCCCCCCCCCCAACCTCTACTATTCCACCACTAACTCCAAACCCCCCCCACCCTCAACCTTTACTATTCCACCACTAACTCCAGAACCCACATCCCCAACCTCTACTATTCCACCACTAACTCCAGAACCCCCATCCTCAACCTCTTTTATTCTACCACTAACTCCAGAACCCCCATCCTCAACCTCTTTTATTCCACCACTAACTCCAGAACCTCCATCCCCAACCTCTACTATTCCACCACTAACTCCAAACCCTCCCCACCCTCAACCTCTACTATTCCACCACTAACTCCAGAACCCCCAACCTCTACTATTCCACAATTAACTCCAAACCCCCCCCCCCCCCCCACCCTCAACCTTTACTATTCCACCACTAACTCCAGAACCCCCCCAACCTCTTTTATTCCACCACTAACTCCAGAACCCCCATCCCCAACCTCTACTATTCCACCACTAACTCCAGAACCTCCCCCCCCAACCCCTACTATTCCACCACTAACTCCAGAACCCCCCCCCCCCCCCAACCTCTATTATTCCACCACTAACTCCAGAACCTCTATTATTCCACCACTAACTCCAGAATCCCCCCCAACCTCTATTATTCCACCACTAACTCCAGAACCCCCATCCCCAACCTCTACTATTCCACCGCTAGCTCCAGATGCCCCCCCCCCCCTCCCAATCTCTATTATTCCACCACTAACTCCAGATCCCCCTCCCCCCCCAATCTCTATTATTCCACCACTAACTCCAGATCCCCCTCCCCCCCAATCTCTATTATTCCACCACTAACTCCAGATCCCCCTCCCCCCCAATCTCTATTATTCCACCACTAACTCCAGATCCCCCTCCCCCCCAATCTCTATTATTCCACCACTAACTTCAGAACCCCCCAGCCCCCAACCTCTACTATTCCACTATGAACTCCAGGATCCTCACCCTGTACTAATGCCCTGCTAACTTCAGGATTATCGCATCAACCTCTCTGTATTTCTCTGCTTATTCCGGAATCCTCACCTTCTACTATTCTATCACTCATTTCAAGGTGCTTATCTTCTAGTTTTCCACTACTCATTCCAGGCACCTCTACTTTTTCAGTTCTCTTTCCAGACTCATCACCTTTTACTATTCTTCAATTCATTCCAGGCTCCTTACCTTGTACTATTCCACTACTCATTCAAAGATTCTCATCCTCTGCTGTTCCACAACTTATTCCTGGAGCCTTACAATACACTATTCCACTACTCATTTCAGAGTCCTCACCCTGACCGATTCCTCCACACTTTACACATTCCTTACTCTCTGCTAATCTACTACTCATTCTAGGCTCCTCATCCTCTTCTATTCCACTGCTCATTCCAGGATCCATACCCTATACTATTCCACTACTCATTTCAGAGTCCTCACCCTCACCGATTCATCTACACTTTACACATTCCTCATCCTCTTCTATTCCACTACTCGTTCCAGGATTCATACCCTATACTATTCCACTACTCATTTCAGAGTCCTCACCCTCACCGATTCATCTACACTTTACACATTCCTCATCCTCTTCTATTCCACTACTCATTCCAGGATCCATACCCTATACTATTCCACTACTCACTTCAGAATCCTCAACCTCCACTATTTCATTACCTATTCCAGACTCATTAAATTCAACTTTAGCAGTACTTATTTCAGGATCCTTCTCCATTCCACAACTAATTTCAGGATTCTCATCCTTTTCTGTTCCATAACGCATTCCAGGATTCTCACCCTCTACTATTCTACTACGCATTCCAGATGCCTCACTTTCTACTATTCTACTACTTATTCTATTCTCATTATTCTCTAATATTCCACTTCTCATTCCATGTTCCTAACTTTCTACTATCCCACTACTCATTCCAGGATCCTAACTTTCTACTATCCCACTACTCATTCCAGGATCCTAACTTTCTACTATCCCACTACTCATTCCAGGATCCTAACTTTCTACCATCCCACTACTCATTCCTGGATCATAACTTTCTACCATCCCACTACTCATTCCAGTATCATAACTTTCTACTATCCCACTACTCATTCCAGGATCCTAACTTTCTACTATCCCACTACTCATTCCAGGATCCTAACTTTCTACTATCCCACTACTCATTCCAGGATCCTAACTTTCTACCATCCCACTACTCATTCCTGGATCATAACTTTCTACCATCCCACTACTCATTCCAGGATCATAACTTTCTACTATCCCACTACTCATTCCTGGATCATAACTTTCTACCATCCCACTACTCATTCCAGGATCATAACTTTAAACCATCCCACTACTCATTCCGGGTTCCTAACTTTCTACTATCCCACTACTCATTCCAGGATCCTAACTTTCTACTATCCCACTACTCATTCCAGGATCCTAACTTTCTACTATCTCACTACTCATTTCAAGATCCTAACTTTCTACCATCCCACTACTCATTCCAGGATCCTAACTTTCTACTATCCCACTACTCATTTCAAGATCCTAACTTTCTACCATCCCACTACTCATTCCAGGATCCTAACTTTCTACTATCCCACTACTCATTCCAGGATCCTAACTTTCTACTATCCCACTACTCATTCCAGGATCCTAACTTTCTACTATCTCACTACTCATTTCAAGATCCTAACTTTCTACCATCCCACTACTCATTCCAGGATCCTAACTTTCTACTATCCCACTATTCATTTCAAGATCCTAACTTTCTACCAACCCACTACTCATTCCTGGATCCTAACTTTCTACCATCCCACTACTCATTCCAGGATCCTAACTTTTTCTACCATCCCACTACTCATTCCAGGATCCTAACTTTCTACTATCCCACTACTCATTCCAGGACCATAACTTTCTACTATCCCACTACTCATTCCAGGATCCTAACTTTCTACTATCCCACTACTCATTCCAGGATCCTAATCCTAACTTTCTACTATCCCACTGCTCATTCCTGGATCCTAACTTTCTACCATCCCACTACTCATTCCTGGATCCTAACTTTCTACCATCCCACTACTTATTCCAGGATCCTAACTTTCTACTATCCCACTACTCATTCCAGGATCCTAACTTTCTACCATCCCACTACTCATTCCAGGATCCTAACTTTCTACCATCCCACTACTCATTCCAGGATTCTAACTTTCTACCATCCCACTACTCATTCCAGGATTCAAACTTTCTGCTATTCCACTACTCATTCCAGGATCCTAAATTTCTACTATTCCACTGCTCATTCCAGGATCCTAAATTTCTACTATTCCACTACTCATTCCAGGATCCTAACTGTCTGCTATATCACTACCCATTCCAGGATACTCACCCTTGAATTCTCTATCTTTTCCAGGCTCCTCACCCACTACTATTCCTCTATTCATTCCTTGCTTCTCACACTTTACTATTCTACTATGCATTCATCGCTCTCATTTATTATGCTACCGTATACATCAGCTTCCTGAACATCTACTTTTCCACTCATTACACTCATTTACTTATGTAGTGATGAACAAAAACAAAAGCGTACCAACCTTGTGCATTACCTCAGTAAGCAAATGGTACATTTATTGGATTAAGAAATATACTCACAAAAGTGGCAATATATAAGGCAATATATAAGGCATATAAAATCCAAGATTGAAGCACTGGAATAGGAGATACGTGTGAATCTCATCAAGAGGGGATACTCTCAGGGTAAAGCTGACGCGTTTCAGTTTGTATCGGGCTACCCCAGCCTCATGTTGGAGCTGCACAACCTTTG